GCAGATCACTCTGCTTTTAACAAAACAAGAATTACTATTTTACAGTTCTTGCCTGAAATGTCTGAAGATATTTCAACTGCACTAAACTCTTACCTTTGTTTTTTAACAATAGCTTGTTTTTAGAGGCTGCTGGAGATTTAAGCACAGCTAAATGGAGGTGATTCATCCACTGACAAAAAGCAAGGAGAAAAGTCTTCAGGATTGATACACTTTCTCACTAACTGGATTGGGACCTACTTTTTTTAATAAAGTAGTGTTGACTTCTGATTTTCTTGTGACCGAACCAAAGATATGATGGCTTGTATCGTGCCTCATACATTACACTCAGTGACTTCTCTTGGTGACACCTTGCAAATATGCTCATTTATCACAAGAGAACTCCTGCCATGATTTTATGTAAACGCTCGCACATTTCTGAAGTCTGACCATCACTCTTGAAAGGTTAAGTGAGATGTTGTGATCTCTGGAAGGCAAGGCAGAGAGTAACATCTCTGTCCTGCTGGAGCTGTCAGAATCCTGAACATCTTTCCGACTGAGGAGGATTGGATAGGAGCCCTCTTCAGAGACAGTCTTCGCTGTTGCTTAATCACTGTAAAGCAATGGCTCAATCTCAACTTTTCCATATTGGGATCCGTCCCCCATTTAACAATATGGAAAGGGTAAGGTGGTCACAGCCCCCTGACAACTATTCATGATCCCCAGAATGAGAAGTCCTATGCTGACTGACGCCAAGCACGACCTCCTCTTGCAGGCTGCCTTGTTAGTACCTTTGCAAAGTGAGCAAAGGAGTGAGTGGGATGTGGGTCCAAACTGGAATCTCCTGCTGCATGACAGGATAGGAACTGCCACTAAGACTAGCCGTTGAGGGAACTATATTTGAACCCTTACAAATCTGCACAGACTAGCAAATATCAAAATGTCCATCAAGTCAGGTTTGTACTAAGTCCTTAAATAATTGAGCTGAACTGGTTAAATGTTTGAAACATTGACTTCATGCAGAAACCTGTAAAGCAAAGGAGTGTGCGGGATATTTTCGGAGCTATGTAGCGTGAGATTCATTTCTGATGCCTTTTAAAGAATTTGAAAGTAGCAATGAGTCCTGATTTCTGTGACTGAGACGCACAAACCATGATAATGGAAACTAAACATTTTTTTGTTTTTGCATTGTTGCTACTTTACCAAAAACTTGAGTCAAGAACATTAAAAAGCTTTTGGAGATCGAAGAGCAACTCCTGGAAGTCAACTTGGGGAACAGGAGGTTGGATGACATTCCAACCTTTTCACTCGCATGTCCCTGGATAATCTATGCATATGCAACTTGGGTAGCTGTCTGCCCTGGGAAATCTACCTTGAACTAGGCAAACTTTTAATTTTTCGATGCTCAGGACAGTCTTTTCCAGCTGATAGCACACTACATTAGGAATGCAAATGCATATCAAATCTCTCAGGATCATCATTTTAGAAGCAGCCACAGGATAAAAACAAGCACGAGTGTTCATTTAAAGTTCATTTAAAGTCGGTGTGCTCTAGTCTGCCATTCACGCATGTTGAAGTGCTAGGCTTTAAAGATTTTCTTTGCCCACAGGCAGCCTGGATACAAAGGGAGTTTTTTAATTATTATTTTTAAGTAAAAATATAACAAAAAGAACCTACTTTTTGCCTCCTTCAATTTTCCTAAGTTTGTTGTCACAAAGCAGGGTTTGCCTCCTAAAAATGTAGGGAAGGAGGAGAGAAACTAGGTCATCCAGTAGCCTCAAAATGCAGCCGTGGGTGAGTGAGTGTGAGAGAGAATGAGAACAAAAGCCACAACTTTAAAAGGTATGGGGATTTGATACCATCTGAAAGTTGGCAGGGAAGGTTACAGGGAAGGGAATACAATGGATTATGTCGAATGGACTTGGATATTGTGTAATTCTGTTTTACAGTGAAGAATAATAATGGATGGTTCTGAATTTTCAGTGCATTACAATGTGTAAACTGCCTTCTGGTTGTAGAGAACCTCCACTTAAGGTGAAACTTTTCTGTTGGTTGGAGAAAATGGCTTCACTATAAGGAGCTGGAATTAAAGCGCATGGTTTGTTTTGTTGTTTTTTTCCCTGGAAAATGTGCAACTCTGAATAGATTTTTTTCACAGGACTTAGTTTCCCCTTTAGCCTATGGTGATAAAACATAAAATGACTCTTAAATTGCAGAATGCTTGCATGTTTCACTAGTCATTGGCAGTAATGATTAGAGAAATGAAAGCTTGCAAACTGCTGAAATGAGTGATTTCCTGTGGGGTTTAACCATATTCAGGCTGACAAATTTTGCAGTCTTAATTATGCTGTGATTTCAATGGGAAATGGAGTTGGGCCTGCCTACGCCACCAGTGAATTGGGTCCAGTGTGCATGTTCCTTTTATGATTTGTCCCCTTTCCTGTTTGGTTGAGATGTCCACCTCCAGTTTAACACCTGTACTGAAGTCTGTGACGGGGTTAATATTAATGTGTACTTAGACATGAAAACTATTCACTAGTTAAAATATAAGCCCGAATTGCAATAACAGATATTTTCTGGAATGTCAGAATATAGCAGTAAATAAAGTAAACTGAACAAGGGTACCTTAACCAGCTTGTTTCAAAGAAGGTTACAGATCATGTGAGGATTAAATGAAATATTTTTTCCCCTGTGGAGTCTAACAAGAGAATTTAAAGCTCTGCTCTTGTTCATCTGCACAATGTCCATTTGAAAGTAGTCTCTCCTTCAGGACTCAACAGAAGGCATGTCACCACCTAGGATGCTATCCAGCATACCATGGGGTTGAAATGTAATTTCCTAAATAAAATGCTACAAAACAATACACTGTAGTTTCCTAGTGATGACACTGCTCACAGGTGCAGGATATTGAAGTCTTAACATAATTAAACTCAACACCTGCCTGGGAACAGTTTCATCCCCATCATTTTATTTTCATATGAAGCGAAAAGAGATCTTGAATGCCCCACAATCATTTCTTAATGGAATCAGTTGGCGTTGCAATTGATTCTACATAGGGCATAATACTTCACTGCTATTTTTTAAACATTTCATTATTGAAATAAGTATAGAAGGAATATCACAGATTCCTCTTACATCTAGTAAGACTTACCTTTGTAAGCATAGGCCCCGATTCTGCTGTAGGCTCTGTACTCTTACACCTGTGCACAGCCCACTGGCTTTAGGGAGTACAATGAAAGGAACGGTTATATCATTGTACCTAGCCAAGGATTGCAAGTATTTTGGAAAAGTCTTATTTCTCAAGCTGTAAACCAGTGTTTCATTGTCCATGTATTGTGACACTTCTGAAATTCATTCATCCATTAGGAATATCTCTTCTGATTTCTGTTGCTATGTGAGGCACACAAATTGCACAAGGAAAAACGTAACAGAAATTTCTGCTTGGGAGGCAGAAGAATCATCTTCAGGTAGCCTTCCTCAAGAGAACCATCCTTTCTAGAGAATTTTCATTCTGTTCAACAGTGGACTATATAAGGTTGCCAACTTTGATTTGCAGAAAACCGAACACCCTTGTTCCGCCTTGTCCGTTCTGAGGCCCTACCCCTGCTCACTTCATCTCCCATCCCTCTGTTGCTTGCTCTCCCCCACCTTCGCTTACTCGCTCATTTTCACTGGGCTGGGGCAAGGGGTTGGAGTGCGGAAGGGGATGAGGGCTCCGGCTCAGGGTGCGGGCTCTGGGGTTGGGCCTGGGATGAGGGGTTTGGAGTGCAGGAGGGATCTGGGGGAAGGGGTTGGGGTCCAGGCTCTGGCATGGGGCTGTGGATGAGGGGTTTGGGGTGCATAAGGGAGCTTTGGGCTGGGACATGGGATTAGGGTGTTGGGAGGGGGTGTGGGCCCTGGGAGGGAGTTTTGGTACAGGAGGGGGCTCAGGGCTGGGGTAGGGGGTTGGGGTGTGGGAGGGTGCGGGGTGTGGGCTCTGGGTGCCACTTACCTCAGGCAGCTCCCGGAAGCTGCCAGTATGTCCCTGTGGCTCCTAGGTGGGTCCATATGCCGCCCCTGCCCGCAGATGCTGCCCCTGCAGTTCCTAATTGCCTGCGGTTCCCAGCCAATGGGAGCTGGGGAGCTAGTGCTTGGCCGTGTCGACGCCTAGGAGCTGGAGAGAAATGACAGCCGCTTCTGGGAGCTGCGCGGAGCCAGGGCAGACGGAGAGTCTGCCTTAGCCCCGCTGCACCACTGACCAGGCTTTGGTCAGCACCACTGATAAGGCCATGCAGAGTGGCCAGGGTCCCTTTTCGACTGGGCATTCCGGTTGCAAACCAGACACCCGGCAACCCGAGTTGACTGTTGTGTATATACTACAACCTTTAACTGAGATTGTAACCAGTTAGGCCTTGTCTATACTGTAGGATATTCAGCAGGGAAAAATTCCCACTACTGCTACCACCAGTTCAGTTGTGTGATTCTTTAGCTAACCATATTTCCTTAATTATCATCACTTTTGACCAAGATATGTGTTAGCATACTGAGTAACTAGAAGGCCTTGATAAATTATTTATAGCTTTGCTATGCACGGCTACTGAGGTCTGAAGAGTGTGTTTTATCAGCTGGAGATAAGTTTTTAATACTAAATAAGATTAAATGTTTTGAAAGAAATAGTCCTGTTTACTGTGGAGCATGGTGGGGTTTTTTTGTTTGGTGTTTTTTATGCACAGATACTCCACTCATCTTAGATTGAACGTAGCAGGGAAAGTGAAAATCAAGTGTAAATATGAAGAAATGGTCTCCTGTAAATGGGCAATAAATGCTGAGTCCTTGATGTCAATTTCAAATGAACTCCACTTATTGAGGTTATTCAGGCCAGCCTACCCTCAGCTAGTTATTCTTGGGTCAGTAAAACCCTCCTTTCTGAATCTATATTTCCAGGCGTCTGACATCTTGTATGTTTGTTGTTTTTTAAACAACAAACAAACCCTTCTAAGTAGTGACCATATAAATGACAAACATGTTCCATTTTTATTTCTTAGGAGCAAAGCCCCAGCAACCAGACATCAATAACAATGATGCAAGAGCCTCAGGAGATGGTAGAGGAGACTGTTACTGTTGAGGAAGACCCGGGTACCCCTACTTCCCATGTGTCTATTGTGACTTCAGAAGATGGAACCACAAGGAGAACTGAGACTAAGGTACGTATTTTTGGACCGTGCTGAGTATGATTTAGGGGCATTAGAAGGGTTATTTCAAAGGTAAGGCTTGCTCTCCTTTTTCATAAGAGGTCTATTGGGGAGAAATGGTAAAACTTCAGCCTCACACAGGAATTTAAAAAAAAATATTAATGGCATATAGAATAGAGCAGTACGATAATCACGTCTCTGTGTGTGTGTCAAACTATTTACAGTCCTTAGTAACAGTGTGGGTCTGCCTATTGCTTTGTTCCTCAGAAAATAGTTTTCCAGTTTCCACAGATTTTGTTTTAAATATCACCACAATTGCACATGAGTAAGGCCACGTTTTAATCACTGGTATTTTTAGTAAAAGTCACGGACAGGTCATGAGCAGTAAACAAAAATTCACAGCCCATGACCTGTCCATGACTTTTACTAAAAATACCAGTGATTAAAACTTGGGGGGTGGCGCGGCCCTGGGGGCACTGCAGATGCTGGGGGGGCATGGCCCGGGGGGCACAGTGGGTGATGGAGAGGGGGTGCAGCCCGGGGGGAGGGAGGAGAAGCAGTGTTGTGGGGATGGGACAGGCTTCATACCCAGCTCCTGGGAAGTGGCGACCCAAGCTCCACGTGCTGCTGCCGCTCCACCCCAAGCCCGGGTTCTGCAGCTCCCCATGGTTGGGAACCGCGGCCACTGGGAGCTGTGGGGGCAATGGCTATGGGCGGAGGCAGCACGTGGAGCTAGGAGCTGAGGGAGGGGAGTTACTGTCTCCCTTCCAGGGAGGTCCCCGCCAGGTAAGCATCGCCCCACACACACACCCCACGCACACCCAAACTCCTGCTGCTGGCGGATGGGGGGAGCCTGAGACTGTCCCAGCAGCAGCCCGGGCGACTGGCCCAGGGGCTGCCTGAATGCTCAGGCAGCTCCCAGGTCAGCCGCACCGGGCTGCTGCAGAAATGGAAAGTCACGGAATCCATGACTTCCATGACAAACACGGGGCCTTACGCAGGTTTGATTCAGTATGGTCTCTGTCAATACCATGTAGGTTATTATGAATATAGATGTTACTACTGGCCTGCCTTCCCCTTCACTCACTCTGCTCTTGTTTACTCCCCTCACTTTGTCTTGTCTCAGGTTAGTTTCTGTTTTCTGTGGGACAAGTTTTGTGTGTTTGGAGCTCTCTGGGATGCTTTGCAGAACTCTTAGAATAGCATTGTATCTAAAGTTCTGGACCTCCACAGTTACGCTGACATCTTTACTAGGGTTTGGTCCAGTGAAGGGTCAAAGGTGTTTCTATTTTTAAAACTATTAAACAGCATTCATTAAAACGAGATTGTCCAGCTGTTTTCCCCCTTAGTTTGGACATAAATGGACAGCCAAAAAAAGTTGTACAGAAGTCACCTTGTTGGACACTTGCATGTGTTTACTGGCATTCCAAAATTGCAATCCCTTAAGATATCAGTTCAGAGTGTCAGATCTCAAACTAAAGGGGCACAATTCTGCTAAAGTCAACAGAGCTGCACAAGTTTACACTGTTTGAGGATTTTGAGGAGTGTGTTCTTTTGGCTGTTCTAAATGCACCTTTAGATGGTCCAAAAAACCCCTGGCCTTTCCCAGTAAGTTCATATATAGGATTTAAAAACCACCTCCACCTCCTCCCATTTTATTTGAGGGATTTATAGTTCCGTATTTTAAGATTTAAAAACAGTGCCTTACATCTTTAAATGATCAGAACTCAGTATATTGTATTTTTTTCTAGCAAAAAAAAGTATACAGGGAGGAAGTAATAAATTTAGATGCTGATGAAATGGAATAACTTTTTTAATAAACTAATTATAATGCATAATTTTATGAGACTCCACCCTTTAGGTCACATCTACCATTGTATCTCTTTGCACGGCTTAGGTTAATGTAGTTTGTAAAAAATCGCAGAGGCCTCCTTTCCATACAATGGCTGTTAGATAAGGGTGCCACATGGATGATATAGTTTGTCCAAAATAGTCATACTGCTGATAAGCAACGTGTTTGTTCTCATAGCGTGAAGAGTGTAATCTTCTCTTACATGTGTGACAAAGTTCCTTCTCTACCTTGGTGGGTCCTGCGCTTATTGGTGGATTGTGCTTGCCTCAGAGATTCACAGTAGCTCTCAGTTTGGCCACTTTCGTGGCTCAAATCTGATGGTCACTCAGATAACCTCATTGTTGGCCAGCATGGGGAAAAGGAAGGAGAACAATCCCCACAGTCTCTGCTGGTCCACCTAGTGGGTCGGGGGACAGGCCAGGGTCCTTCCCCTCTGGTGGGACCCACAGTCCAAGTCAACTCCTCCTGTATCCAATACGGAGTTGGGGGGATGGTGGGGGACCTGGGCCTGCCCTCTACTCCGGGTTCCAGCTCAGGGCCCTGTGGATCACAGCTGTCTACAGAGTTTTGTGTAACACCTGTGTGACAGCTACAACTCCCTGGGCTACTTCCCCATGGTCTCCTCCCAACACCTTCTGTATCTTCACCACAGGGCCTTCCTCCTGATGCCAGATAGCATTTGTATTGCTCAGTCCTCCAGCAGCACGCCCTCTCACTCTCAGCTCCTTGTGCGCACCTCAGTAACTGGAGAGAGACCCTTTTTAAAACCAGGTGCCCTGATTAGCCTTAATTAATTCTAACAGCTTCCAAATTGACTGCAGGTGTCCTAATTAGCCTGCCTGCCTTAATTAGTTCTAGAAAGTTCCTGAGTGTTCTGGAATAGTCCCTGTTTTACCCAGGGAAAAGGGACCTGCTTAACCTGGAACTAATGTATCTACCTTCGACCACTCTTTTGTAGCCATCTGGCCTGACCCTGTCACACATGGTATACCTGCTATTTCACCATCTTCCCCACATACCTTAAACAAATACTGTACCTGTTCTCTCTCTCGCTCTCACATACATACCTTTTTCCCCATGCTCTGAAGAAAATCCTATACAGAAAAAGATGTTTAAATTAACATGTGATATCAAAGAATAAACCTATTTCAGGTACATCCCAAGCATTATAAAATTGAGTAGAAAATTGACATGGTTTAAGCCTTGCTGAGGCCCCACAAAACCCTAATCTGCCTCCGTATGGTCTTTTAATTTATGTCACTGTTAAATCCGCTTCAGTCTATGTACTAAAGCCAGGGAAATTTTGGAACGTAGAAGAGCCATTTTACTAAAGGAATAGTTCTGTTAAAGTCCAATTTTGATTCAAGAAGTGATGTTGAAATGTCCAAAATGCAGGTTGGCCAAACCACGTGTAATTCGGTCAGAAAAGGCAATGTGGTTTTAAAGGGATCACAGTTATCTTTGAAAGTGTATACTTTTTAATTCTATATTTTAATATGGTTTAGATTTTTAACAGCCACTTAGAAATCCAAGTGGTCTTCAGCTTATAGTTGGCTTGGTAGCAAATGCAAAAATGGAGACAGAGTTGCAGTTCATTTGCAGTGCTTTGCTCTGGAAGTCGATTAGCATTATTCTAGTTAGGTGTTTTTATAGCTCCCGTCATTGCGGTATCTGAGCATCTCTCAAAGAAATTGGTTTCGTGGTTACCCCTGTGAGGTGTGGAAATACTGTCCCCACTGCACAGACGAGATGGAGGCACAGTCCCACCAGAAGTGTGTGGGCAGATTTTCCAGATCTTCTGACTCCCAGTCTTGTACCATAGACTGTCCTTCCTCCCAGAGGTTGAGATACTAGCCTGGGACTCCAGAGACCGAGGTTCGATTCCCTGCTCTACCGCAGGCCTCCTGTGTGACTTGTGACAAGTCAGTCCGTCTCTCCGTGCCTCAGTCGGAAATAATGGGACTTCCCCTTCTCACACGGTGAGGATGAATACACTGAAGACTGTGAAGGGCTTAGATACTAGAGCAACGGGCACAACGATAGTACCACCCACCAGCTCACCTGTCTTCGCGATGCCCTTTATGGGCATTTGCGACAGTGGAATCTGTTTGGCGCAACAATTGGTCAGTGATGACCGTTGTTAATCGCTCTCTTGTCACTGACCCAACCATGTGTCCACCAGGGTTTAATCTGCCAAGGTACCTGTGGTCATCTCGGAACCGGTTTTGAATGGGACAGGGCAACTGTGTGGCCAGTCTCTTTGAATGGGGGTTTTCTAATGACCCGTGATGCAGCTGCGGTCAATTCAGACTGTCACATATCCTTGATGAGTGCCCACTTGTTTTGACAACAGACTGCCTGCTCTCCACCTGGCTGATGATGACACCATCAAATGGCTGGGCACATTGCGCATACGCTGAGTACTACAATAATAAAATAATAATGAAAAGCTGACATAGATTCACTTAGAGCGGCTTTCACACATCCTGGCCCAGGACTCCTAGCAGCGGAAAATCAGGCTGGAGGGAGTGCTTGTAGCAGTGCAAGGAATTGTTAACCTTCCCCTGTGTTAGGGAGCTCCCCGAGGGCCAATGCAACTCCCCAGGTGAGCGTGGTGTTGGATGGGGAGAGGATATGGCAGCGTATGGATATGCTAATTCAGTACACCCCCCTAGAAAACTACCACTAGCAAGAGTCCTAAGGAGTTGCTATCACCCCAGCGGCTTAAAACATTGACTCTAGCCCTGCTTAAAGTGTGCACTCACTTTTTTGCATCCCTTTTAAAAGAACAGTATTTCATACACTAGAATTAGGACTGTCTTCAGACACACAAACGTTAAATCTATTTTATGAAATGTTTAATGCATTACTTTAATAAAAGTGGTACTAAAAATAGACATGGTTCCTGTTTTATGTCTATATATACATGCTCTACATCCCGCTCCCCACACCTGTCAGCCAGGAGCTCATTACCTTCCCTTGCAATACCCCCCCCCCCCCGCAATGCTATGCAAAATGGGCTCAAGCCCAATTTAACCCTTCCCTCATCTGCGACTTTCTCCGACCATGCACTGGCACAGATCATGTTCCGCTTTACATACCTATTTTCCTCCCATGATCCAATCAATTTCCCTCTAGATTTCCAGACAAACCATCAGTC